CCTTCCTTCCTTCCTTCCTTTCGTTCTCTTTCTTTCTCTCTTTCTTTTTTTGGTCCAGTCCTCCCATAACCATAGGCTCCTAACACAGATTTGTGTGGGTGTGGTTTTCTATACTTGTATGAAGAGGTACAGCATTGTTTTAGATTTCATTTCTTCCCTTCCTCAGAGTTTTGAGACGTTGAGAAAGGAGAGGTTGTAACAGGTGGAGTGGACACTGTGGGTGGCATTGGTGGCCCATCCTGGAGCCTGGGCCAGGGCACCCCTGGGACCCCTCCACAGTCTCTGGGACTGCCTGACGGTGGCCAGGACTCTCCACAGGTTTCAGAACTCCTTGACAGTTCTGAGGACGCTCCACGGGTCCTAGCTCGTCACTGCCCAGCCCTCAGTCCTAGGAAACAGCCCTGACTGCTCCTGGTCCTCCCCACAGCCAAGGATTGCCTGGGGCCGGCCCCTTGGATGACAGTGGGTGGCCTTCGGGTGGCCTTCTCCCTCCAGCAGAGCTCCTGGGGTCAGGCTGGAGCAGACCCACCCAGCACTTGTCCCCCCCCCTGCCTTTCCTGGCCCTTCCCCTTCCCCTTCCCCTAGAGCTTCGCTGTGTGTCCGGTGCCCAGCCTGGGAGGTCTTCATCAAGGGATTTTAGGATTTGCTTTTTCTAGTTCTGTGAAGAACGTTGCTGATATTTTAGGGGAATCACATTGGATCTATACATCACTTTGGGTAATATGCACATTTTAACGATGTAAATCCATCCAGTTCTGAACACGAGAGGTCTTCCCACTTTTTGTGTCTTTTCGGTTTCTCACATCAGTGTTTTCACATCACTAATTCAGTTTAGTCACAGGAATTTTATTATTTTTGCAGCTATTATGAATAGAATCGTGTTCACGACTTCTTTTTCAGCAAGTTTATTATTGGTGTATAAAAATTCTTCTGATTTTTGTATGCTGATTTCGTACACTGCGACTTTACTGGATTTATTTGTTAGTTCTAAACATCGGCTGCTGGAGTCTGGTTTTTGTGGATAGAATCCTATCACCTCCTGAGATCCTCCTCGGTGCCTTTCCTTTCTCTTCCTGATGGCTCTGCCACTGCTTCCTGACAACCTGAGCAGGGGGCGGGGGTGGGGGGTGCCCATCCTTGCTTCGTTCTAGACCTCAGCTCTCTCCCTTCAGGGTGGTGTTGGCTGTGGGTTTCTCAGACGTGAACTTCATCTTGTGGAGTTATTTATGTTCTTCCCCAAGTAATTTGTTCAGAGTTTTTCTCATGAAGAGATGTTGAGTTTTATCAAATGCTTCCCTGCATCTATCAAATGATCATGATTTTTGTTCTTCATTCTGTTGATTACACCTATTACATTTATTGCATTGCATTGCATCCCTGGGGGTGGGAGGAACCACTTAAATATGGTAAATTGTGTGTGTGTGTGTGTGTGTGTGTGTGTATGCGTGGGCGCGCTTTGGTACCGGAAACTTCTCATTCCGTCTAAGGTTTCAAATGTGGGGCTCGTGAGGATCCCTAATGCTCCTGATGACCTGACGTTGTCTGTGGTTATCAGTGTGCTCACCTCCATTTCTCATCTCGGATTTTATTTATTTATGTCGTCTCTCTTTGTGTCTTTCTTTGAAAAACAAAACAAAACAAAACAGTGATGACAAGGGAAGCCCCCAAACACAGCACGTGAATCAGCTCAAGAGAAAACATTTGTGATTCAGTTGCTAGGTGAACTTTTCTTTTTTTTTTATGGAAGGTTATTTTTAATTTAAATCATGACTATTCAGACTCGATATTGGTGTACATTTTCTTGCGAATTTAGCAAAGGAGCTTCTCAGTTCTAAGGAAACAACTGACATTTGTTGTCAACGCTTAAAATTCAAGCTTTGAAGAACTGGGGGAATTGTGTTTCACAATATTCCAATGCTCCAAGATTTCTGATGAGATCCACAGTGATCAATAGGATTTGGAGGGATTGTTATATAATGAAATCACATTTCGTATTGGAACTAAGTTTCTTTTTTTTTAACTAAATTTTCAAACACTACCACTTGTTGACTTTGCACCACATTTTCTTATGTACATAAACAAAAACAACATACCTAGCCAAAGCAATCCCTAGCAAGAAGAGTGAAGCAGGAGGCATCATAATACCAGACATTAAACTGCACTACAGAGCCACAGTAACAAAAATGGCAGGGAACTGGCACAAAAACGGACACGTAGACCAATGGTACAGAAGAGAAGATACAGAGACAAACTCACGTAAATACACTTATCTCATACTAGACAAAGGTGCCAAAAACATTCACTGGAGAAAAGATAGCCTATTCAATAAATGGCACTGGGAAATCAAACCCCTGTCTCTCACCCTGCACAAAACTCAACTCAAGGTGATCAAAGACTTAGGCACTAGACCAGAGACCCTGCACCTAATAGAAGAAAAAGCAGGCCCAAATCTTCATCATGCCAGTTTAGGACCTGACTTCCTTAACTAGACTCCTAAAGTTCAAGAAGTAAAATCAAGAATCAATAAATGGGATGGATTTTTAAAAAGTTTCTGCTCAGCAAAGGAAACAATAATGTGAAGACAGAGCTTACAGAATGGGAGAAAATTGTTAACCACATGCACTTCAGATAGAACATTAATCTCCAGGATATATAAAGAACTCAAAAAAACTTAACACCAACAAACTAAATGTTGGTGAGAATGTGAGGGAAAAGGTACATTCATACATTGCTGGTGGGAATGCAAATTAGGGCAATCATTATGGAAAGCATTACAGTGATTCCTCAGAAAACTTGGCATGGAACCACCACTTGATCAGCTATTCCATTCCTCAATTTATACCCAAAGGACTTAAAATCAGCATATTACAGTGATGCAGCCACATCAATGTATATAGCTGATCAATTCACAATAGCTAAACTATGAAATGAATCTAGGTGCCCTTCAACAGATGAATGGATTTTTAAAATGTGATGGTTTATATATATATATATATATATATATATATATATATATATGATGGAATATTACTCAGGCTTAAAGAAAAAAGACATTATGGCATTTGCCAATAAGTAGATGGAGCTGGAGAATATCATGCTAAGCAAAATAAGTGAATGCCCCCAAACCAAAAGCCGAATGTTTTCTCTGATACGCTGATGCTAATTCACAATAGAGGGAGGCTAGGGACCAATAGAGGTACTTCAGATTATGTAAAGGAGAATGAAGGGAGAAGAGGGGTATGGGGGTAGGAAGGACAGTAGAATGAATCTGACATATTTTCCTAGGTACATATATGATTACACGACCCGTGTGATTCTACATCATATACAACCAGATGTATGAAAAATTATATATAATATAATTATATATTATTATATATGATGTATCAAAGTGCATTCCATTGTCATGTATAACCAATTAAAACAAAATTATTAATATTGTTTAGTAATATTACATACCAAAAACAATAATAAAATTTGCATGTTTGGGTTTGCAAAAACAAAAAACAAAACAAAACAACCCCAATAGATTGATTACAAAAGCAGACCTGGGACTCCTGCCATCTACTATTATCTTGGAGAGAGTTGGTAAACATTTTTAAAATTTTGAAAAATCAGTTATTTTTATTAAGATTCTTATGCAATGGGGTTTTAGAAGTGCATTAATTAAAAGCATTTTCAGTTCTAATGTTCAATACAACAAATACCAATATAAATTCATGCAAACAAAAGGTCCTTCCAAGAGTTTTGCAAACTCATTGCAAAGCCAAAAGTATGAGGACGGCTGCTGAATGCCAACCCCTAAAACGGAGATCCTAACCCTGGCTCGGCGCTTTCCTCCTCAGAGTGCAAGAGCTCAGCATCCACGCCCCCTCCCGGGCACTTTCTACGCCCAGCTGAGCGCCCTGGGCGGGAGCTCTGCGTCTCTGGTCTCCCTGGAAACCGCCCGCCCGCCCCTCGGGGGGACCCCG